AATAAATAAGTAATCACTTTTCTGATCACCTTGGAGCCTGATGAGAATTACAGTCTGAGAGCTCTGATTGAACAAATAGAGGTTTTAAAGTGCTATAGAACAGTATTGCTTTCTGAATTCTGCCACTGTCTGCTTGAATCAATCAATCAACCCATTGCTAATCTTGAATTATTTAACTATTAATATTGGTATTGAACTGCTAATTAAGAGCCGCCATATATTAGCGACAAGAAATTGATATTCCACTTTTTATACATGCATCCGGTTTTCAATTACAGTTGCTGTGGCTCGTCCTGTAGGCTGCTGGTAGGTGAGGGTCTGGGTTTAAATCTTTGGGTCTCCACAGACCACAAAGCATTTTTCTTTTGTGCTGGCAGCCATATCACCAACAACTCCCAGCTGGCAGCCCCACTGGAGCTCAGCACTGTGAGCCTGGTCAGTACCTGGATGGGGAATCCTGGGAAAGCTAAGGCTGCTGCTGGAAGAGGTGTTAGTGGGCCAGTAGGGGGCGCTCACCCTGCGGTCTGTGGGGGTCCTAATGCCCCAGTATAGTGATGGGGACACTAACTTGGTGTCCTGGCCAAATTTTCCCCTGGTCTTTACCCATCATGGCCTCCTAATAACCCCCCTCTCTGAACTGGCTTCATCACTGTCCTCACTGAGAGCTGCTGTGTGTGAGAAAAGTGCTATATAAATGTAAGGAATTACATAATAATAATTATTGATAATAATTAATAATAATCATTGAGAAAGCAGAGAGGGAATAGTTCTTGGTGTGACTGGGAGAATGGGTAGGGAGACAGGGAAAAGAGTTTGGAAAGGCGGAAAAAAAGGATATGTGAGAATGAGCAGCGGGAGGTGACAGGGAGATGGAAGAGCAAAGGAAATCTGAACAAAGGATACTAAGGGGGGGGGGGGGGGGCATCTCCTTAGTTGCATGCAATATTTTCACAGCTCTGACATATTCTCTGACAGGATCTGCCAGTTGTCTTCCATTTTCACATCCTCCAAGAGAACGTTCTGCAACTGATATCGCTGGGCAAATAGCGACAGGTGTATGGTATGTCATTAAGGTACTTGCAAACATATGTTTAAATATCATAAAAAAATATTTATTTTATATACTGTATGCAACAATATATATTGTGTTCAGTCTACAAAATTACATGGATACAGTGTTAGTGCAAATCCTTGAAGAACACGTTCACAAATGAATTTGTTTTTTTCAGAACTTGCTTTCACATTGCAAGAAGCACCCTTGGGGTCAATCACAGGATAATGGTTTGACTCTGAAGAGGGGAGAAGCCCTGTTTGGATGATGGTGAAAAGGTTGCCAGGAGAGAATGGCAATAGTAACAGCATTATTTCCTCATGCCCACATTACTAGTAGTTACACAGTAATTAGATGAAGGAACAAGTAAAGGTTTATTCCAGTAGTTCAGGTGGGGAAGGTAGGCTGCAAAGGAACAAGTAATAGGTTTATTCCATGCTGAAGAGAGAAGAAAGAAAACACAATGTTTCGACTGTGGAGCTTTCTTCGGGTGTCTAGGTTTATTCCATTCTAAAAGAGAAGAAAAGAAACACAGCATTTCGGATGTGAAGCCTTCTTCAGGTGTGACACAGCCAAAACATTGTGTTTCATCTGCAGCCTATGCATGCTGACGCAGCTACCTACTTAAATGTCCGAAATTAGATGAAGTTTCCTTGAAGGAACCGTGGACGTTAGCTGCTGGGATCAGGAGACTCTCTAACTGATGGAACAGCAGGCAGTTTGTCTTCTTCTGTGAGCTGAGGCTCTTCTTCCTTCTGTTGTTCCCCCTGCCGCTGCTTCCGTTTCAGTGTCCGGCCTCCCAAAAACCTCCGCGCACTCGGCGTCCCTCTCGGCTTCCTCCCGCGCCCTTTCCTCGTAGCCCCTGCGGATCTCCTCCAGCTCTCTCCGGTGCCTCTCCTCCCGTTCTCTCCTCTCCTTCTCCATCTCCCTCTTCAGCCCGTCCACCTCCTGCCCCAGCCTCTCCCTCTCCGCCCGCTCCCTCCTCAGCTCGGCCTCGAGCGTTCTGATCCGCTCCCGATCCCCCTCTCCGGCCAGCCTCTCCTCCAGCTCCGCTATCCTGTCCTCTTGCTCCCTGATCTTGTCCTCTTGCTCCCTGATCTTGTCCTCTTTTTCCCTGATTTCGGCCTGCATCTTCTGCACCCAGTTCTCCAGCTCCTTCTCGTACTTCCGCCGGTGCTTGTCCTCCTCCCTCTGTTTTTCCTCCTGCTTCTCCCTCAGGATCTCTTCCATTTTGCGTTTGATCTTGGACTCCGCATTCCGGTATGCGCTATTATTGTAGTACGAGAGATTCGTTTGGATTTTCACCAGGAGTGCGGCGACCTGGGCCCGATCTTCCATGTCCTCACAGTTGAGGATGTGACACCCCTTCCCGCACCTGCCTACGAGCCGACGGAGCTCCTCATCGCGCGACAGCAGGCACTCCCCGGCCGTGGCGCCCCTCGCCTCCTCGCCGCGCCCGGTGAAGAGGGCCATCGTGTACCCCCACGCCTCCTCGCCAAACATTTCCACCCCCCGCTCCAGCGATCCCCACGCCTCGCCGGCGCCCCCGCCCAGTGGCAGGACCAGGAGGAACGCGTGGGGTCCTGGGGCCGACAGGTTGACGCATTGATCGATGGCCCTTCGGCGCCAGTGTCCAGAGTTGTTGGTGGATGACAAGTCCGGCGCGTCTACCACTGCAACGCGCCACCCCTCCACCAGCCCCTTCCTCTTCTGGATCTCCGTCGTCTCGCTCCCGGGGTCGGAGCTGAACGCTTCTCTGCCCAGGATGATGTTTCCCACGGCGCTCTTCTCGGCCCCAGAGTCCCCCAGAAGCACCAGCCTCAGCTCGGGGGCCTCTGGTCTCCCAGAACTCTCTTTGGTCCTGTCAGACGATTGATCACCGGCCACTGCAAGTCAACAGAGCCCAGTTAACTCCCTTTAAAAACACAGATTCGTCCCCTGTGCCAAAGTCAAAAAAGGAGGCAAACAGACATTCGACATCTTTTGTATTCACAGTCAGGGAAGGTCATCAATACTTCTGACTGTCTATTTTGGAGACGGGTTTCTCTTTGTGCTCTAAAACTTATATATTTTTTATGCTAGAAAAGAGGTTTTTGTCTTTACTCTAACCATTTGGTCCACATATTGGCTGCATGATCTAAGTCCTGTCTATGTGGTGGAAGTAGCATCAGCATAGTCGTAATATTGTCTGCTTGGTGTGCCAACTGTCTCCTTGGTCTGCGTAGTCAAACTACTGTCTGTATAGACTAAATGAGTCTGGGAAATATATTTTATGTATGTTTTCTAAATACATTTATAATGAGATTCTATTTTAATTACATAGTAGGCTTTTCAGTTCTCCTGCAACCCTGAATTGGAAGAAGCAATTAGAAAATGCATGGATTTAGAAATGGCCCTCTGCCTTCTGGTTTTCAGTATAGATGAACCCTTATTTGGTTAGTCTAATCTGTATTTGATTGGTTTGTCATTGATTATGAAGTTGAACTTAACTTTGGATATCAACATCAACCCTAAACCTGGAGGTGTCTGACACCAGTTATGGACATCTCTTACAAGCTCTTCAGACAGAAGTAAGACAGCAACCGTTTAATTGACAGGTTGAGGAGAGAAAGGAGACTGCTAAATGTCTTTGCAGACAGAAACAACCCAGGTCTTATCGAGAGAGAAGCTCAATTAGCCTCAGTGGTTGAAAGATCAGTTGGAATGAACACTGGGAGATACAGTACATGGATCCTCCAGTACCGAATCTGAGAACCACTGATACAGACTTTCCTTTCTAGCCAGCCATTTTCTATTCTTTAACAAGTACGAAGTCACAGAGGAACCGGTGCCTCTATGGGCAAGCAACAGGTGCAAGGTGGGGTACACCCTGGATAGGACTCCAGTCCATCTCGGGACACCCAGTCACATATACTCACATCAGGACCAATTTTCAGAAGCCAGTTAACCTACCGGCATGTCT